ATATGTTGTTGACGTTAATGACAATATCCCGAAGTTCGGAAAAAATATTTATGAGGTTCGTACAAGTGAGGCGACATTGTCAGGTTCCAACATCCTCCAGGTTACAGCAGYCGATGATGACTGGGATAACAACGGGAGAGTTAGCTACAATATAACCGCTGGAGAYACACAAGGTATGGCATCATTAAAGACCATTAGGGGGTGACCACTTAACTTGGAGGGAAGGGGTGTGGATGAGTCAAGTAGAGTGAAAACACTGCAATAGTCTCCTTCAGGGTTCCCTGCGCCATCTTGAAAGGTAGCAGTGTCTTTGCATCGAAGCGAGACGACKGTCGAGCGWGCAATAATAGAAGCCTTCTTTCACACCTACAGACAAYTATTATTCACAGTTATCTATGATRTCATTGGACGCTCAACGGCCGTCTMGCTTCCACGTAAAGGCACGGCTAGCTTTCAAGATGGCGCAGGGAACCGTGAAGGTCTCCATTGAAGCATATATATCTATCATATCTATTTTACGGGTTTTGTGACTTTACTCTCAGCAAATTAAGTATCAGTTAYAACTCTGTAAACACTTTGCCTAATAATTATCAAATCTTCTATATTTTCAAGGTACCTTCGAAATAACTCCAAATGGTAATATTGCTATCAAGAAAACGTTAGATGCAGAGAAAGCTGCATTGTWCAATCTAACAATCACAGCCAGTGACCATGGAAACCCTCCACTGACTGCAACGGTACGGATATCTAATTGATTTTTTATGTCTTATGGAAAATTTATTTTATAATTTGACTCGTCCCCAAGTCGATAAATCATTTTTTTAAACGCGTTRACTGTTTTGTTTGCATGTCTACTTTATATTCTACTTTATATATAGGCTTATTTTTAGATGTTAAAATATCTGCTTCATTAATAATGAATTCTTTTTGCTATAACTCGTATTTCTATTATAGGCCTTTGCGGTCATTAATGTTGATGACGTCAACGACAACGATCCCTCTTTCAACCAATCAACATACACAGCTGATGTTAGAGAAAACGTTCAAGTTGGGACCCCGGTAGTCTATGTATATGCCACAGACGACGACAAAGGACCCAATGGGGAGATTACCTACTCAATAACCAATGGAAACAAAAACAGTGCCTTCGCTATTAACAATGTCACTGGTCAAATTACCACTAACTCGCTGATTAACAGGGAAAAAAATTCATTTTATTCATTAACTGTACAAGCAGAAGATCAGGGACGTCCTTCGAGTAGAAAGGTTAGAAACTTTATCGGAAATTCTCCTTCCTTAAACTTAAAGTAGGGAACTACACTGGAAAAAATTGCGCGCTTCAAAGGTTGTAAATTTKATGTAAATCGGATGTAAGTCCAAAATTCTGTAAATTTGATGTAAATGATTTCCATTAAATTTACAGAATTTTGGACACTTACATCATATTTACATCAAATTTACAACCTTTAAAGCGCGCGATTTTTCCAGTGCTAGTTGTAGGCGGGCAAACGAAAGCAGTGAATATCTCCTCGTATATTTTACTTGAGTAGTTGACCTTCCAGCATTTAAAGACTGACCTCCTCACAATCACAATAGTTTAACTACTTTCTGTTATTCTTTTTGGTTATTACTGTTCTAGACTGCGTTTCACTTTATATTAACTTCGCTGTTACTGTGATCTGGAGGCAAATATTTGCATAAATTCACTGGAAAAAATCGCGCGCTTTAAAGTTGTATGTAGATATGATGTAAGTGTCCAAAATTCTGTAAATTTAATGGAAATCATTTACATCAAATTTACAGAATTTTGGACACTTACTTTATATTTTCATCAAATTTACAAAATTTAAAGCGCGCGATTTTTTTACAGTGAATTAATTGTTGATTACTTTTTTCAAGGACTTTACCACAGTGGAAGTTACCATCGTGGACGAAAACGACAATGACCCATCATTCTCTGCAGTTTCTTATGTGGGTGAGATATTTGAAAACTCTCCCGCAGGAACACCTCTAGAAATGGTAAGAACTACTCTCATTTAAATGACATCAGAATATTCATATTCTAATTCTGTTTCCGAGATGAATCGTGACATTGACGAAAGTGAAAACTGTCGTTTGCTTTTTGTCCCCAATGAAAATATCACCCTGTCCAAGACACACAAAAAAATAATATCGGTCTTTTATCTAAATTGTAGAGCCTGTTTAAGACAATTTCGGGTGAAATGTATACCCTGTTTAAGACAGCAAGGCCAAAAACCATACCCTGGCCAACGGCACGTCCCCGTATAGCAAATATATGGGAGT